CTTAACAACGGTTCTTCAGCTTTTACAGTTCAGTATAAGGAAGCCCTTATCTACAGAATCGGATTGATCTGAGTTACCCTTGGTGGGCCCATTTCGTCCTTTAAATTTGTATATATTTAGTAATGTCATGTTAAGGTAGATTAAATGTTGCTATGGCTTAAAAAATGCATTTCAAGTACAGTGCAAGAGGCACTTATGATAATACTTGAAAACTTTTAAAATAAATGTTTTCAGTGTCCCAAAGTACTACCTTGGGTAAGGCTACTTTATTTCACCTAATTTATCGCCTTGAAATCCACTAAAACATTATTCCAGCTCATAATAAAACCTTGTTAATGTCGAATATTTTTATTTTATTTCCAATGGCAGGGAATACAAACCATAACACAACAATAAAAATAGAAAACAATAAAAATAGGAACAATAGAAATTGAAAATAACAAAAAACCGAAGTCTTCTTCCCAAAAGCTGTCTCGCACGCCAATATCTTGCGGTCTCCGAGTCAAGTCCGTAGACCCTCCTACAGCAATGGAGTTGCTCTCTATTCATTGGTGCTCCAGAACCACACAGTTGACACTGAGGGTGCTCATAAATACCTATTCGATGCAGGTGTTCTCCTAGAGTCTAGGAGAACACCTGCATCTAGTCATGATAGTCTAGGACCTAGACTATCATGACCTGTTAGGAGTCTAAAAGTGGCTACTGCATCTCGGCGATGCTTATCTGGTAGTGCCTTAATATCTGTCTCACTTCAGTTCTTATTCCTTATGCTTTCTCGTAGGTCAGCAAAGGCATTCATTTTCATTATGTTTTTTATGTGTAGTTATTTAATGTCGAATATAGAAGGAAAGCTTTAAATAACGAATTTTGAATATCAAATATTATTAATTTTTTTTCGAGGGACATAGAAACAAGTTCAAAATAAAAATATTATTTCTTTAGTAAAGAGTAATTATAGTTATGAGTAATTATATTATTATTAATTTTACTACTGTTATTAATTATATTATTATTAATTTTACTACTGTTATTAATTATATTAATGTTAATATTTCTATCATTGTTATTGTTTATAATTTAATTCGATTACAAATCATTAGAAATTTTACTTGGAAGTAGGATATTCTTTTCTTTGATACGTCTTGTATTAGACAACACCATGTAACATTCGACGATGTTCTCTGGCCTTTACATAAACTAGTGTAAGCGTCCTCCTAAAATACAGCTTGTTTAAATACTAATCAACTATTTCATTTATCATAAATTAGTCTTGGGGTGTCAGAACAAACATTTCCCAAACCATTTTTCTCAAAACCAGAGATGCCAACTGCTCCGGACGAGTCGTAATAAATTAAAAAACGGTAAACAACTACAAACTTAAGTGTGCAAATATTTGACTAATTTTGTTTACGTTTTAGACTGTGTAGCATGAATTAGATGTTACAAAATGGCGAATTATATAAGCCTTAAAATTATTTGGAAATAATGGTTGAAGAAAATCTAATAAATTTAATTTATTAAACCAAGAATCATACATTAATGAACTACCACTCGAAAATATTTATTTTATGTCCAGAGCAAGTCGGCATCTCTGCAAAACTTGTGATTATTGCGCTCAACAATGATCAACGCATTATTAAAAATTGCTTTAATGACAATGTATTGTGTCTACCACTACAAAAATAAAATTTCAATTATAAAGTATATGAAACATGTTTATTATTATATGTTTCTTCCACCTCCCAAGACATAAACACGAAGAAACAGCCAATGAAGACGACTACAGATTTTCATCCGTGAAAATTTTACTATATCTAAAGTCATTTAGTCACAGTTACCTTAGCGCAAAAATTCAGATGAAGAAGTGAGATGACCGCTTCACGGGCAGGTACTTCATGGGTGAAAGCCCTTATATAGCAAGACGGAAAAGAGAAAAGCCTGGTACGTAAAACATTTCATTCCAGCATTTTTTTCGAAAAAAATGAAATATCTGTAACCATCAAGATTTCTTTTATAATTCTGGCATATATATAAAACTGCTTCTTTTCCAAGATAAAGTAGATATTGTTGAAAAATTTAAAAAAATAATAAGTAAACTCCTCCCCAAAACTAGCTATAACTGAAATGGTTTTACTACCAGCCTTTCCTCTTTTCCGTCTCGCTTTCACCCCTGAGGTACTTTGTTCAACATCATGTCAAGTCAAAACTGAGAAATTTTCGGGTTTCCCTTTCATAAATGCAAGTTGACATTTGCGCACAGCATTTGAATAAGTTCATTTCAGTCAGTAAGAGAAACAGATCCAAATAATAACTTTTGTTGAACAACAAATTAACACAGAAATGACAGCTGATTCATAACCTAATGCTGTCCCTGAAACTGCCAAAAATTCTTGAGCAATTATCTTTATTTTTTGTTTCGTTATTTAATTCCAGAAAATTGTAGTATTCCAAAGTCGCCTAGACTGTCATAAAGTTAACCTCCCATTTTTCGGTACAACCTCTTGTCTTGTATCATCTTTTCTTCTGCGGCTATTAAATTTCAGTTTTGAAAATGTTACAATTATCTTCTGTTTGTTATCAGTAGAAGCCGTTTCCCATCATATCATTTTAGGGTCCCTAAGTAATCTCGACTGCCACATAGTAACTCACTTTACGATATGATACGATACGATATGAAAATCTGTAATATCTGGTATAATATCTTACAATATGTTATTAGTAGCTTAGTAAAATTTTATGAAATGAAACTCGTTTCTATATAATTTTAGACTTGTACTTTATATTATGCTTAACACGCTGAATGCCATGGAGGTCACCGGTGACCGCACTGAGTTTGTTGATAGTGTCATTGGGATCACCGGTGACCGACGAAGCCAAGATTATTAGAAACGCATAATTCTAGTAATTTTTTTTTTTAATATTATTATAGTTACTAAGATGGTTTGAAGAAATTAATGCAATATAGAATGCACACAGAATACAAACAGAGATGCCAACTTGCTTCGGACAACGAATAAATATTTACCGTTGTGGCCAGACGGGTAAGCCATGTAAAATTAGCGTGCCATTCAGCGTGTTCATAATCAAAAAAGTGCTACAGGAATTATATTTTATATTTTTATACAGTCGGGTAATTAAAGAGCTTATTGAAAAGACTTGCTGATGGAAATTTTAGTAAATTAAAAAAAGTTTTGAAATGTGTAAGAAAGTTAGAATTCAGTTTACAAAACAAGTTTTGCCATTTAAAAATATCGCAGATTAAACTAATGTATAATAATTAACAGGATTACACAGAATAAAATCAGCAGTCACCCATAACAATCAAAATATGTTTTTTAAACACTATTTAACATCTTTAATAAGAAATAAATAATTTATTATGCCAAGAGGAGAAATGTACTAGGATAGACCATCTTTTTTACACATAGCGGTTGGACAAAATTATGGAAACACTTCTGTGCTAACTCTATATAAACAATCTTTCTTTTAGCATCAAATGTTTGGAAACACTTAACATAGCAAAATTGTTGACACCATTTCAAAGATCATAATTGAAACTTTTAGAAATGATGTCACTTTATCCATGCGAAATTCTAATCGTTCAAAATAATTAGAATTAAATTCTTTCTTGCTTTACTACTAGCATTTTTGAAATCATTCTATAGGATTGAACTGTTTATATATGAATGTTTTTTTTTAATTATCGCAGCATTGAAAAAGGAATGAAGACTTTGAAAATTTCTCCGAATTTTGCATGGGTAAAAGGTTCATCATTTCTAAAAGCTTCCAGCATTATTTTTCAGTTTGTGCTAGCAATTTTACCACGAAAAATTTTCCGAAATGTTTTCTGCTGAAAGAAAGATTGATTAAATAGAATTTGTATCAAAGTGCTTCCTTAATTTTGTCAAAATCCTGTATTTTTAGAGTCCTTGGCTAAAATGGAGACTAAAATTAGCGGTGAAAAGAATTAAAACGCTATCAAAATCTAACGATTTAAAACTAGAAGGAAAGCTAAACTTAAAACATCAAAACCTGGTTGATTGCTTTAGAATATTAAAAAAAAGAAAGAAAAAAAAAGTTTCAGTGACAATCAAGCCGGTTTCGATGTTTTTCGCTCCATCAAACATAATATTAATTTCGTCAAATTTAAATAACAATTTTTCTATTTCTGCCGACCGGCCTGTGTAGGGATCAGGGAACTGGCCTTGCATCAGAAAGGTTCTGGGTTCGAATCTCGGGTAAGGCATGGATGTTCTTTCCTTCTCTGTATTATCTGTCATGGTGGGAGCAACACTGGCCCACCTAATATGGTGCCCTCGAAAAAGTGACCAACAAATATCTGAAAGAAAGTGGCCTTCAGATGCCTGTATGATGTAGGTCGTTTCCCCAGGCGGGCATTAGGAAAAAATTGCTATTTCTTCACAAGGATTTGTGTCCATATTAGGATTCATAGTTTGATATTGCATGTCATTTTTTGACTTTTAATAGATTTGTTTTGTTCTTTTTTGCAAGAATTCTAAGATATACATTAACGCGGTATAATTACAGAACACCTTGCATATATATTTATTAAATAATTTATAAAGAATGCATATAGTTTATAAAAATTTGCCAAATAATGCTTGACTCCGTATTATTTGAGATTGTATGATGAAAACATCATAGCCATACAATGTAACAGGTTTTCGGTTTATTTTGACTTGTTATTCATAGTATCTTTCTAAGAGCTCATTAATGCATACTTTTGCCGCACCAGACAGTTCTCTTTTTTTTTTCTCCAAAATAATTCCTCACTACGTTTTTTTTCCTTCTCTAAGCTTGTTTTGATTTGCAATTTTTTTAAAGCATCCTCATCTTGGCGCCTCTCTAGTCAGCTCAGCAATCGAAAGGTTAAAAACGAAAGAAAGAGGAAGCGGGAATGCTCAAGCAGCTTCCAACCACCCACATTCCCATCATCCCCTGCTGCTGCCGGTGACGTCAAACCGTAAGGGGGCGGGGTTATCAGAGGGATTCAGAAACTGGGGATTCCAAAGGCAGTTCTTGTCAGCCGGTGTTTTCTCTAAGAAATATTCTTAGCGATGAAGCACGAGATGGAAAACAAAATCTATTTGGAGGTCTTTTTGGTGATAAAATCACGCGGCTGACGACCACTATGATGTGGTGGACTCAGGCATTTGTTGTAGTGTGTTGGTTCGTTGGCCTAGGCGCGGGAAATCCAGACGCCAAACGGCTATATGACGACCTTATGAGCAGCTATAATCGTCTAATTCGACCTGTTAGCAATAATAGTGATACTTTGACTGTCAAGATGGGCCTCAAACTATCACAGCTCATTGATGTTGTGAGTAAACAAGCTCTTTTTTTTAAAAAAAAATCTTTATCCTACTACTTTAAAGTCTGCAATTATAGAGAGTATGCTAACCTGAGATTACCACGCGCTAAGACCTAAACACATTGTGTTGCAAAGTATAAAGATATTTTGAATATTTATAATCTATAAATATTGAAACCTATAAATTATAAAGTCTGCAATTATAGAGAGTACGGCTAACCTGAGATTACCACGCGTTAAGACCTAAACACATTGTGTTGCAAAGTATAAAGATATTTTGAATAATTATAATCTATAAATATTGAAACCTATAAGTTATAAAGTCTGCAATTATAGAGAGTACGCTAACCTGAGATTACCACGCGTTAAGACCTAAACACATTGTGTTGCAAAGTATAAAGATATTTTGAATAATTATAATCTATAAATATTGAAACCTATAAGTTTTTTCTTAATGCATTGAGTCGAACTACATAAAAAACTAAAACTTGTATTAATGCAAGATACATCTTTTAATTACCAATTCAATTCTTTTTTTCACAATCAGTCTCGAAAATAAGCTCTCATTATTATTAGTTATGAACTATCCATCACTATTTACTTTCTCCCGGGGAAAAAACTCGTCCAATATATATATATTATAACTGTTAGAAAATCTTAGTTGTCATGCATAACATTCTCTTTCTCGAAAACAGACAAGAAAAAATGATTTTCTAACCAGTTTTTGCTCTATTTTTCTTGATATGTAATCTATACCTTTAAAGTCCTTTTCATTAGACAAACTCATCCTAGATGTGAATAAAAAGTTTGAAAATTTAATATAATGGTGGAATGTTACTTGATTTTTATAAGATTGCGACAAAAAACAGATACACTGTTTTTTGAATCAGACTTCAGTTATTTTCTAGCCGGAAACAATTTTAATTTCCGAATTATCCTCTAGTAAAAAAACTGAAACATTTTAAAACTCTAAATCAAAAGCTTTTTAACTCATATCATGTATTATTTAATGTTTACATGATATGTCACCCAGGTTAATTATAGGAAGTTTAGGTGCATTGATTATGAAACATTTAATCATTTAGATCCCTTACAATGGCGTGGATATTGCTAGGAATGAAACAAACATTCTAAAATGGCTATAGTTAAATTAGTATCTATTACCTTACAATCAAAGCATGCAATTTTTTTAGACAGCTTTCACTTTATTTTTTTTTTTAATTTAAGAAGTTGTACTTAATTTCTTTTTCGGTCTGGTATCTTTTTGCCACCAATCCCTATTGATTACTATCAAAACTGAGAACGAAGACCCAAAAGTGATAGGGGGGATTAGCTTGAACAAAATTAATATTTTTGTCGTGAGAAAAAAAATTCATTCGAAAAATTCAATTTTATAAATTCTGAATTAATTGAAGATTATTTAAATAAATGAGAGTTTTTGATTTCATGTAAAAAGCATTCAATGAAATAAGTTTTCAAGTACTTTATAATTCTTTCTTATTAAAAGTCTTACAATCAACAATTGCTTGTCCTGGGTATGATTATTTCGTCTCATTCTGTTTATGAGAAAATAATTTATTCTTTACTATAATAATGAGAAACAACCAAAAGATCTATATAATTCCTTAAACCTGCCAACTTTTACGGGTATGTGAAATAAGAATTTAAAAAGTTAATTTAAAATCAAAAATATTTTTTCTGAAATTAAAGCCACTTATTTCTTCTGAACCTAAAACCATGAGGAAGCCATTCATTACTATTATAAACTTATAAACATAAATTATCCATTGGATTTATATTTAAATTTGCCCTACAAAAACATATCACCCAATTTTTGTAGGTATGCAACATGAGAATGAAATTGAACTAAAACACACCATTATACGATTATAATGTTTTTATATAAAAATTTATTTTCTCCAAAATTATTCTAAGTAGATATATTTAAAGTTAATTTTTTTAAAAATAAAGCATGAAACGGAAAAACATAAGTTATACTATCACTTAAAATCTAAAAATAAAATTTTCCTAAAAATTTGGAAAAGTTAGCAGCTATACAAAAATTTGAAAATATGAAACAATTTTTGTTTTTCATTTTCCTCATGTAATTGCAGAAGAAACTCACAAAAATTGATTTAACTGTGTGTAGATTAGCTGCGTAATCGATTAAACTCGTAAACATAGGACTTAATATAATAGTTGTTATTATAACAAGCGTCGTTGTTCATCAATACTTAAATTAAGTGGTTGTTTTTTATTACATAAACTACAGCTTATGCTTTTAAAAAATTATAATTACATGGATGTAGATTAAAATATTTTATTTTATATTACAAATTCTTTATATTACTAATTCATTATATGCTACAACATACGTTTTTAATAAATGATTATTACGTGAATATAAATTGAAGTATGATGCTTTATGTTACTAAATCATTATATTGCTAATTTATTATATTACTAATATTTAATAAACTTCAACATACGTTTTTAATAAACGAAAATTACATGAATGTATATTAAAATATGACGCTTTATATTATTAATTCATTATAAACTACAGCATACGTTTTTAGTAAATGATCATTACATGAATATAGATTAAAGTACAATACTTTATATATATATTTCATTATATTACTTAGGCATTTAAAACTACAACGTACGTTTTTAATAAATGATAATTACATGAATATGATACTTACATGAATATGGATTAAAGTGCAATACTTTTTATTTCTAATTCATTATATTACTTAGTCATTAAAAATTACAACATACGTTTTTAATAAATGAAATTATATGAATATGGATTAAAGTATGATGCTTTATATTACTAACTCATCATATTACTAATTCTTTATATGACTAATTTATTATAAATTACAACATAATTTTTTTATAAATGATAATTACATGAATTTAGATTAAAATATGATACTTTATATTACTAATTCCTTATATTACTCATTATAAACTACAACTTATGATTTTAAGAAATAATAATTTCATGAATATATTTAGATTAAAGTATGATACTTTATGTTACTAATTCGTTCTAAACTACAGTTTGCGTATTTAAAAAATGATAACTACGTGAATATAGACTAAAGTATGATGATTTATATAACTAAATACTATTTACGTCAGGTTTACGTATTTTTTTTTCCAAGATAAAAACTAAGAATGAAATATTTGTGTCACTAATTTTTATGTTTTTAGAAAAAAGAATGTTTTTCTATCAAGCGGTGAAGTGATAGAAATATTAATGTGAAAACGCATGATGATTTTATATCTTAGAAGTTTTCTGTTGAAGTATCTTTTCCTTTACAAAAGAATGTTGGCAGAGAAGTTGCACCCTAAGAGAAGAGGGAAATTCCCCAAATGCGGAAGAATTCAGCTAGAACGAATGCTGTAGTAAATGTTAGGATTTTATTAATGCTTCTTTCCTGAAAGCTTTTCTCTCCAAGAAAACTGATATGTAGGGGGAATGTTATTGAATTAACATACCGATAATGAAAATCTTGCCATGTAATGAAAATGAAGCTCGATTTCTTATTTTAATACTTTTAGTGATTTTCCAAGTTTTAGTTGTTCTTTTGCTTATTTTTATATCTGTTACGTAATAGAATTCAAGAAAAAAGCATGCACTTTAATGTACAGTCGGACGTCTACATAGCGAACTTCCATTTTGCGAATTTTTCTATTTTCCGGTTCTTTTCGGGGAACTAAGGACATTTTGAAAATTTCTTCGTAAAATAACTTCCAAATAGCGAAGTGGATCTTCAATTTAACGAACTTTTCTTTAAGATCCATTTTCCCTATTTCCCAAAATATTTCGGAGCAGTTCAAACTTGTTATCGCATTTTATGGGGGAAATGACCTTGAATTGTTTTTCATAGCCGCATAACTTTTAGACAAAGCAGTAATGTCCTAAACTCAGACAAAGTAAACGGATTTTATTAGTAGCAATTAAACTTAGCTCACGTGGTAGTGTATGTTTAAAATTACTTTTATAATAAATGCAGCTATAATTTTATACATAAATTCATCTTTTTTTAGTTGAAAATGTATGTGGCATGATAGTGTTACACTGGATAATGTTTTGCTCTATTCTTTCTTTCTATGCAGATTTCTTTCATGGTTAAGATTTATAAAATGAATAGTAGATTCTAGTTTACAAGATAAAGGTGCATCGATTGCTGTTTTAATTTTGTATAGTGTTAATGAATTTAAAACCTGTTTTGTGTTGTTTAAGTTTTTCTAAAGGTGGTTTTTCATTTAACTAATTTAACAAATAACGAAATTATTATCAGGATTTAGCGAGTTCATTAAATAGAGGTCCGACTGCAATTTATTGCATAAAAATATTCTAATTTCTTTTTCATTGGGGTGAGAAGTTATATAATTTACTTTTCCGTTTCATTAGGAGTAAAAATATAATAAAAAATGGTATTAAAATTACGTTACTTTCTATCAGGATTTCGGTTTTGGTATCAGGACGTGCCAATAATTCGAGTGAATACATTCAATTCTAAAACTGCTATTGATATTGTTTTCAAAATAGAGTAAAATATAATAAAAGAAATTTAATTTTTTAACTTAAATTGGCTGCAACTTTGTAGTTTTTGTTTGTCACTGTTCAAATTATCATTTCTAGGTAACAAGGTATGAGTGATTATAGTTTAACTAAATTGTGCTTAGCAAGGCTTCCAACATTTTACGCTTTTTGTAAAAAATTGCTCTAGTGTGGTAGCTATGTTGATGTTTTTACTGTATTATTTTTTACTCATTTAAACTTATTTCCATTAAAAAATAGTAGCTTTTTCTAGAATATTTCTTTTAGTTTACTATTGAAGGTGATTGCAAAAGACTTTTACGGTTTAAACAAGAATAAATTTGATTGGTGATAGCTGTGATTGAACAATTAAATAAATAAAAATTAATCAAACTTATACCACTTCTTTCATTTTAAGTCGCTTGTCGCACGCCTATGTATTAAAGTT